GCAACTGATGATCCAAAAAAAAAAAGTGTGCGGTATTGAAAACAATGTATTCGATTGAGGGATGCAAATAGAAAAAAAAAAAGGGAGGGGGTCGCACAAATCAAAACTGTGTCATTCTATAGAAACTATACAATTGAAAGCCCGAAAGAAGTGATCCGCGAGGATGCCAAAAATTGGCTGAGATATAATTATAATGCTGGCTGTTTCGCTGAATAATAATAATAACAAAAAGAAGTGGTTCAATAATTATTTCCCTTTCTCAATATAACATCCCTTACTTTTGTGTAGGCTACAGTTTTCAATGTGGTGTAGTTTATTAAAAAAAAAAAAGGATTGCATAATTAATTTTGAAAAACATTTTTCATTTTCACAAGACAAAACGTAGCGGTTGCATCTAAACTTTGCAAGCTAAATATGACGGAATAGGATTTGCAATATATTTTATAGTTTCTGAGATTTAAGCGTGACGGATGGACATACACAAAATTAATAGTGGATTTCCATTTTCAATGGACGTTAAAAATTCATCTTTGAAACAAAGGGAAAAGATTGAACATAGTATTTTGCAGTGCTAAAAAAATGCACCAAATTGTTTATTTCTTCTCAAATACCTAGGCCTACAATAGCAATACATCCGTACTCAGCATACCGAATAGTCCCCAAATGTTAGCTATCTACTGATTTGTCTCTATTCTGAACAAAAAACCCACATTGATATTACATTTGTGTCATGATGGTTTAGAAAAAAACATTTGCTTGACTTTGTTCTTCTACACTATCTATAAATATTGATTAACTAGAGTTTTGCTTAACGGTTACGCCTGTTTGTTTGTTTTATATCACTGAATAGAAATCCAAAGCAAGTCTCGTACGTTACCATTCTTCTTCTTGTCAAGCCAGCAGTAATATTGTATGAAAACATAATTTAAAGTCTTTCTGCCCATTATCTGCTTGATGGGGAAAGAAATTTTGTTGTAGGCCTAGCTTATAATTATTTCCTGTCAACATCATGCCCAAAACTAACCACATCGGCTACATTATCATTGAGTCAGAATTAAAAAGGTCACATCGATAGTTAAAAAACATAGAAAACTAAGCTACGTAATGTTCATTAACGATCCGAAACCGGAAGCAAACATTAGTTTTATTTTATTAATGATCGAAATTTAATATGATGCAATTTAAAATATCCGCAATCCTAAATAGGCAGCAGTTTGTCATCTCTCTATTATAAGAATTGAAAATCTGCCTCGTTCTAAGTCTCATATAGCTGCTGTAAACTTATATCGCCTTAACTTCTTTTTGAAGGATTCGAGTCATCACATGACTACCGTAAAGGAATGTAGGCCTACTGTTTTGTGTCACTGAGTAAAACATGTAGGCCATTTCATAATTCATAACAGCGGCGACTAGAATATAAATTAATATCTAAAATCAATAATATCGTTTCATGCAGTCTATATCCATACAATGTGAAGACTTAACTAAACCTATGAACAGATACATAACTGACCTTTGTAACATAGTCAAGGCATTCCTTGTTCACACAATGCCAAATGTTTTCGCCATATCGATTGCTCTCCACGTTGTGTGAATTCAGATGATCAATGAGTATCTTACACATGCGCGCCTTGCGCTCCCACTCTCCTTTGGCTTCTCTTTTTTCTCCACCCACACACGTAACCCGTTTCTAACCTTTTTTTTTTTCTTTTTAAACAATGGGTCATCCATTTCTGACGTCCGCATAGAGGAACGCAAGAATAAGTGACCCAGAAGAGAGAATGTTAAAAATATATTATATATATATATATATATATATATATATATATATATATATATATATATATATATATATATATATATATATATTCTTTACAAAGCTTATATTAACTCACTTTGTCTGTCTGGTAAAAAGTTTGTACACGTTATTTCTCCCACACCCAATCTCGAATTAAGCTTAAATTTTGCACACTTATTTCTTTTACATGACAACACAAGAATCAATAAAACAAGATTACAAAAGACGTTTGTGTTTCACACAAACTCAAAGGCGGTCCCCAATGCCCGCCCATGGATCCGCGTTTATCAGACAGCCGGGACTAAAAAAAAACACAACTCTAACTCGTTTTAATGCATAATAGCGAATCCTCCTTTTTTTTTTGTAATAATACCTAGACTTAACACAGAGCTTCTTTTGTTTTGGATCTAAATTATTTCCTTGAAAGATCTAGCTTAGAATACAATGAATATTCCTATATGATAGTTGTCTGATTGTGTGGTATGCGCTCCGCACTGTCCTCTTAAGCATCTCCTATTAGAACTCTACCCGAACCTATTCGTTACCGTCCTGCAGTGTTCTTATCTTATCTTATAAAATACAGACGTTACTAAAAAAAAAAGATGATGATGATTACGTTAGTGGCGTAACTAACCATGTGCGGGTGGTGCGGGCCACACGGGGCATCAAGTGATGACAACTCGAAGTGGGCGACTACTGTCAATCAAGACTAGAACTGAGCGGTACAAAAACTCGTTCGTACCTTACTCGGTCAGACTATATCAACGCCACTCGTTGATCAGGAAACATGAAAAGGACCAAGATGCCTGTGTGTAGTCGCTGACTGAACTCTTTATGTTGTGTCTGTCTATTTTATGTGTATTTTTCTGTTGTGTTGTCTTTATATGAGAAAAGAGTCCTTGAAATCACAACAAATTTCCATAAGGATCAATAAAGCAGTCTTAGTCTTAGAACGGCATAACAGAGGTGCTCCCCCCCCCCCCCCCCCCGTAAACACTATAAAGATCAACTCTGGCGCCATATATATTGTAATAACTTAAGGGAGGTGACTCAACGTTACACAGATGTTTGTTCACACGAGCACATCACAAACACTAAGTAATAATCTGCTTTGAGCACAGCCTCTTCATAAGTTAGGCGGAACTCCGTTATCTTCATCCTTATGTAAACATCGTTCTCCGTCCAGTGCGCACCTTCTGCACTCCTGGATAGTGCTGTGCAAGAAAGAGTTATAACATTGCCCCCTTCTTAGCGCTTTTCGTCTCGAAAATAAACAGGTTCATAACAGTGCAGTGGAGGTTTGACAGTTTATGTGGAGATCGATCGGAGGGAGCTTCAGACGGCAAGGAGAGTGTAAACACTATAAAGATCAACTCAGGCGCCATATATATTGTAATAACTTAAGGGAGGTGACTCAACGATATACAGATGTTTGTTCACACGAGCACATCACAAACACTAAGTAATAATCTGCTTTGAGCACAGCCTCTTCATAAGTTAGGCGGAACTCCGTTATCTTCATCCTTATGTAAACATCGTTCTCCGTCCAGTGCGCACCTTCTGCACTCCTGGATAGTGCTGTGCAAGAAAGAGTTATAACATTGCCCCCTTCTTCGTCCCGAAAATAAACAGGTTCATAACAGTGCAGTGGAGGTTTGACAGTTTATGTGGAGATCGATCGGTGGGAGCTTCAGACGGCAAGGAGAGTGTTTCCCACCAAGCCATCTGCAGTTGTCCGTGGCCGTCGCTTTCTCTTCCTCCAATTGACCAGTCTGCTTGAGAGACGATATCGTGCTCGCTGCTTTGACCTCATGACGATTGGCGCTGACACAGGGGGAGGTAGTGGAGGTCAGGGTTGCCAGCCATTTAACACCAATGGAGGTAATGGCGATCACTGTAGTTCCCAGCGGACCTTTTCCATGGACGTCTTGTGAAGGATTTGTAGTCCCACTGGAACCCACGCATGCAGTTTGCTGGTACCTCATCTGCCATACATTTTGAAGGTATCTTCTCTGCGACGCTATATTTAAGTTTCTCTTCTGCCAACAGTTTGCAGGTACCTTCTTTGCTACACATATGCTGGTATCTCCTCTGTCACACATTAGCAGGTATCTCTATTCGAGGCGCCGCACAGTTCTTGTTAGACACCAGTGTGCAGTTATCAGGACTTGAGTTTCCCTCGTAGTTTCTGGCAAATAGACATATGTCTTTAAGGTCCACAGCAAAAGGTTTGGACGCAGACCCAATATTGTCTTGATCTGCCCAGCTCATTGAGATACTTGTAGCAGGTACACCAGGGATAAAAACTTCAGGAACATAACAGAATTCTCTAGTTTCTTCATCTGTCTCTTTCTTTTCGATTCGGTACATCTCGTTGAGATCGTCGCAGCAATCCTTGTCACGTTTCTCGTCTTGAAAATCACACCCGCAAAACTTGCCGACAACACAACACACTACCCCAGCTCCTCCATCACCACTGTTTGTGCAGCCGCAGTCTTGATTGCTCCTTCAACAATAAGTCTATTTGTCCTTCCAGTGTACTAGCTTGCGACAGTGTTGTACCTTCTATTTGTTTCAGCATCTCACTTTTAACTGTGCCATTTGTTCATGTATTACATTCTGGATGCTGTCTAAATGGCCGAAGACCATATCAGACTATCTCAAATTGACAGTATATATATATATTGGATATACTGGATTGTATTTAGATATATCGGTATGTCAACCATGGCGAATGTTCCCTAACATAAAAAAAAAAAAAATGGTTTGCCACGAAAATGAAAGTCGAGTGAGAAAATGGGTTTACCAGTTTAGCCAACATATTGATAGTTAATAGAAAATACTGTGAAAACTGGTTGACCAGTTTGTTAAAACGTTTCTTTCTTAATAGAGATACATTTTTTATTTTATTTTAAGGGCCTTTCGGTTTTTTGAGGGACATTTAACACACAATACGGTCTCCGCCGTGATCAAAGGAACATTTATGCCAAGTTTTAACAAGATTGGTAAAATGATTTTGATTTCTATGCGGGACAGATTTTCTGCATTTTTAAAAAATTAAACCTTCTTGTAGTTTTTGTTGTTCGCACGGTTTTTATACTGCCCCAATACTACATATTCTTCATGTCCACTGCTCTACATTGAAACAAAAATGAAAGAAGCAACTTAAAAAAATAATATTAATTAAATAAACAATGGTACGTACTGTTAATTTCCACTTTTATTTTGATTATACATTTTATTTCTACACATAAGTGTCCATAGAGAAAATACATTGTCTACATGGTATTCATTCATGTCTTCTCACACTAAGTGCTGATTATTATAGAGCATACATTTTAGTACCAAATAGATTCAATTAAGGCAATTAAAAAATAAAAGAGAGATAGTATATTTTTGTAAATCAGACCTCATCAGAAAATCAGATTAACTGGATTCTTCTGTACTAGATATATATACATATATATACAAGCATGTAAAACAAAAAGCTATTTTTCATAATACGAATTCTTTTACAAAAAAAAAAAAAAAAAAAGCATTGAAGCTTAAATTACAGAACTACAAAGCAAAAAAAAAAAAAAAAAAGGAACATTTAAACTATAAAAATCCACCAGATCTAATAGAAAATGTATATGTAAGGCGAGCGGGTATTACAATAAATGTACTTATACATTTAAAACAAAATGTCCATATTAACAAACTGAGAACAAGCACCAAACATTCATTCTAAGCCTACAGTTTCCTTGAAGTACAAATGTGTTGATGAATACTACTCATCAGAAAAATGTGATGTCTTTTGGTTAAGAATATTCATTTGTACAATTAGCTCACACTTAATATTTGGTAGCTTATTAAGTTTTGTTGATTGGAAATGGAATTATGTTTTATTTCCTAAACAAAAAACAACGACAATGTATTATAATGTCAATACAACAGATTAGGCTACCAGAACAGGTAGTTCACTTGTTTAGATTCGGGTATGAGAGATGCTTGTTACCTTTAGATGGCTAACTATCTAGAAACTTCATTCAAATCTCTGCTGCCTTGCAGCAATACCCTTACATTGGAAAGACTTTGGGAGTCAAACAAATCTGGCAACCCTTAGGCAGCTTGCAGCACAAACTACTACACCCAAAACTGTAATAGCACTTGCCATTCCTTTGAACCCACCAGTTGCTGTGTGACAACACATTCTAACCCTAACTAATGGCCAGACATTCATCTCCTTTCTATGAAGTGATACCTAGTCACCCCTAACTATAGGAGGCCATGGTGGTGAGATAATATAGTAAGTTTCCCTTAACAAACATTGTCATCATTAGAGTTAACATTAGAGTTATCAAGTAGGTTCTACCTATCTTTTCCTTATACTAAGATACCTGTAGGACAAGTAGACAAAATTGAACTTATATTGGTGTTGAGACACAATAATAGTGGTAAACAATAAACATGTCATAATCAAACTAACAAAACAATTATTAAATATGGCAAGTTTTTTTGTTTTTTTTGCAAACTTAAAAAGCAGAAATTTATATTCTGGAAATCTTATTCTGAACCTCATCTACATGACACTTTTCTCAAGTCAGGCCTTTTTTATCTATCTAGGGTACATGAAGAAATAAAAAAAACTAAAAAGAAAAACAAATATTGGTTGAAAAGATTTGGGTAAAAAGCAAAGAAATTTAGTTTTAATTTACATGTAAATAGCAAAGTTTATGTGCATCTTCAGAGCCATAAGCTTTTTTAAAGAATAAGGTAAAAATATAAAACCAAATTTAAAAAAAAAGGGAGATACTGATAACACCTTGTATGCCTAATGTTAACATTCAAATAATAAGTATTGAATTAAATGAAAAAAATTAAGAAAGTAAAAAAAAAAAGTAAGAAAGTAAGAAAGATAAAGATCATTTAGCTAGAAATTAAACATTTTATATGTTGAGGCATATATTTTAACACTTGAATATGTTTCATGTTATAGAATTCTGGGTGTTTCTGCCACAATTTGTGTGAGATTAATCATATTTATATTTTGGGTACCTCTTTTCATATTAAATTGTAACAATCAACGTTTATTGATAAGGGAAAATAAACAAAATTCAAAAGTAAAAAAAAACAATGTTAATGCAATAATCAAACTCATAGGTACCAAAAACAAAATATGACAAAAGAATGCAAATTGTATCCCAAAGTTTAGTAAATATTACTAAATAACCCAGTTCTATTTAGGATTGATATATTTTTCAAACATAACACATTATTTCAAATATTTACATTATCAGAACAATGATCATTATTTGTTGGATCCAGGAGATGGTGAATTTATTAGCATTTGATCTTGTTCATTTTGGCCACCTAGGTACGGAAAAAAAAAGGTACAATAAGAATTTATTTAAAAAAAAAAAAAAAAAGGGCTAAAGTCCCTTTGGACAGAGAATTAAGCAGAGTTAGAGTTTAAATAAAGTAAAGTTCCCCTTTCAGACCTTGCGATCTATAGGGCAGATGACACATTAAGATCATGTGTTTCTTTGGCCAACAGTTAATGATTAGGGTGTCATTTTGCCAGCACAATGACCAAATAAAATTGAGTGAACTCAGGGTGCCCTAAAAATACCAGTGGCTGAGTGGTTAAGCACTTGGCTTCCAAACCTGGGGTTTTGGGTTTGAATCTTGGTGAAGGTCTGAAATGGCAACTTTACTTTTTTTTCATACTTTACTAAAGGTTTAATGAAAAAACATCTGCTCCAGAACATTGGTAATGAAAAGGACTTTTATTTACCTGCTGTATTTCCAGAATTGGGTATTCTTGGGTTAACTGGCAGAGATGGTGGTAAACCAACTCCTGTTTGCTGAGGATATGCTCCTTGATACTGTTGCATTTGTGGTTGATTAGGATATGGCCCAGGTGGTGGTGCTGTACCATAAGGTGAATATCCTTGTTGGTTCATATTTGATTGAGGTCCACAATAAGGATTTGGAACACTTGAGTGGGAAGGGTACTGACTAGGCTGGTTAATGTAGTTGGGATAGTGTGCAGCACCTGGTTGTGAGTTGGCACCTGGATACTGCTGAGCAGAAGGACTACTCTGATTTACTCCCATAGCTTGCTGTGAATATGGGTGGTATGGAGGAACTTGATGGGCTGTATTTGATGAATACATCTGAGGTGGAGTCTGAACTTGATTTGGATACTGACTTGGTGGATAAGTCTGACCCATAGGACCTTGTGCAGGATTATTTGGGAGCATTGCAACCTGTTGCTGTGGTGTAGGTGTCCCACTAGGAGTGAGAGTGGGAGGAGGTGTTTGAGGAGATGATTGCGAGGCTTGGGTAAGGGCAACAGTTGATGTATAAGTTGGGCTGGTAGATGGTACAGGCTGAGATATAGGTATACTTGCAGGCAAGGATGAGGGTGAGGACACAGATGATGGTGTAACAGCCGCTACTGTGATAGAAGGCATACTTGAGGTGCTAGAAGTAGGTGAGCCTTGAGTTACTTGAGAGGCTTGCACCTGAGGACATTATATTTGTTTTTTTCACAATAAAACACTAACTGGAAACAAATATCTGGATTGGCAAATTAACGTAGAGTTAATAACTACAATTGTTTGAATCTAAATTTTAAAAAACCCAACATTTTAAATCTAGCTTCTCAATAAGTCATAGTACAATAAGATTTATTGTCGAGGTTACATTAGACCCTCATAAATGTTTTGTTTTTTATATCTTTCAACATCATCCAGAATAACAAAAAATTGACCTTTGAGTTTTCATTAAAGAATATCACCATCACAAAAGATGAAAAAGATTTATATAACCTTTCATAGAAATCATAATAAAAATCTGTAAGAGATTTAATTACGATTGGTTGTTTATTTTTATAAACATATGCATTTTCAAGTACTAGGCATGTACCAAGAGATATGGGTACAGTAGTCTGGTACAGTTAATTAGAAAGTTGATAATTTAGAAAAAATATGCATGAAAGAATCCCTATAAACTAAAATTTGTAAAAAGTCTTTTATGATAACTATCATTATTATACTTTACATGAGTCAATTTTTAAATAGTTACTTGTGGTCCTTGAGGAGATAATGGTGATCCATGCATGGCATAATTAGAGCCTTGACTAACAGCTGCAGCTAGGGCTGGATTCTGAACACTGGCAGAATTCACAGAAGTTCCATGTTGTCCTTCATGCTGCTGAGTGGTCACATGTTTAGCATCAGCTAACTGTTGATTAGCAAACTGTCTAGCTCTGTACTCAGCTGCACGAATTTGTTCCATATGAAATTGTTGGCGCTCTTGAAGGAGCTGCTGGCGTTGATATTCAAGCTGGAAATAAATATATCTACATATTAACGTAATAACAAAATGAGTCTCTTTACACAAAATCATAGGCATGGCTATTTTGGTAAGCAATGTAAGATATTAAAAAAATATGATTTTTAAATTTTGAGCAAGATGAGGGACAAATTAAATTGCAATAACACTTTTGTTTCATGAAAGATGAATGTCACTAGTGACCTATGATAGTAGTAAAAAGGATACCCATATTGAATCTAAATTAAAAAAAACAAAAACATTTCAAACATTTTAAAACAAAAAGTTTTTTTTTCAAAAGAGACTAAAAATAGTTGCTGCATCTAAATTAGGCACACTACAAAATATGGTGAAATCATTTTTTCCATAGATCTTCTAGTGTTTGAGATCTAAAAGTAACAGATGAATCATACACACTTATAAGGACATTTCCTTTTCTGAGGGCAGCAAAAATTTCAACTTATGTATTATTCTTTTGTGCTTTATTCACTATGGAGTTGTGTTATGTGAGGTCAAAGAATCTGCTAGATGTTCCATTGATATTCACAGATCAGCACAACACTATTAATGTTGTTTATATTTTAAAGTTTCAAATGTGTACTTTAATATTTAACCATACTTGCTTTTTTAGTCATACAATACACAGATTTCAGATTTTTCAATGTACAATGAATGGGACCATCATCACTAATAACTGATATAAAAAATTGGATGTCTCATCTTAAAAAAATTTTTTCAGCAAAATTAGTTCATTTTTTTAATATTTAGTTTAAAAATGAATCAGCAATTTTTCTCTACTTCAACAACAAAGCAAAAGGTCTATAAACTATTTTCTGACAGATTGATAGAACAATTGATGGCGAATTTTAAAAGGTACAGTTTTTTTAATTCTTTTATTTATTTCTGTGCAGTGTTTTATAACTGATCTATAATTTGATGAAACCTAATACAGTAGAACAATGATAAACATACTTGCTCTTTAACTTCTGCCAATAGCGAGCAATAAAAAAAAAAAATTCAGTTAAAAAGACCAAAAAAACCCATCTACTAACAGATTCTCTTTCTTTGTCCATTATGGCTTCCAGTTCTTCAAAGTGTCTGAGTTTAATTTCCAATTTCTTCATCTGAGTCTCAACTAACAATGCCACAAGGCCTTTGATTTTACGCTCCTCTACTGCAGCTAAATGCTGAATAAAAAATATAAAGAAAAAAAGAT